GTCTGAATAGGGTATCCATGTTGAACTACAGCATGGTATCTCAGTGGGCAGCGCTTTAACACCGACATAGTCCGGACTAGTACAGGCAGCCACATACAAAGGTACATGGGCGTCGCTACGTAAGTGCAATAATATTGAACGCGATGTTCACCTATTTCACCTCAAACCAGCTGTATATAAGTTGCGACGTCATTGGTTACTCTACGGAGGTGTACAGTTATATTTCATGGCAGTTAGCATGTCAGAATTCTAAAGAAACGGCCTAATCAGATAAATTCATGGAAAACCTAAGCCCCTACTGAAAATCTTCTTTGATATAATCTCAAAAAAGGAGCTGAATCGCAAACGAATCTGGCTTGCGAATTGTACTGCTACTTGTTGCGTTATAAGTTTTCAAGTCATCTGAAGAGGTTGAAGTATAAAGAGGACATGTATGTATACAACAAGTTATACATTTCAAGAAAGGACAGTGACATCAATAAATGACCCGAACTACTTCTATAGAAGAAACTGTTGGGAGGTTCATAACTATTTAGTTTCATTTGAAATTGAAGATACATGTACCATCAACAGACTAAAAGAGTTTTGTTCAGGGATTTCATGTTGTTGTTTTGTAAACGCGACGGTTCGCGTAAACTAAAATATCCGCAGTCGACGTGTGGACAGTGTCAGTTGTACAGTAATGAAACTAATTTGATATTGCTATAGGTTGTCAGTACACTGTGTCACAGACAAAGGTTTCCAAATGAGTAGAAATATCACCTCGAAATCAGACATATGACAGCTCGGCGGACTGTTAAGAGATTAACTATTTTCCGAGTAGCCAGTTGTTAATTGCGATTTTCGATTTGCGGGTAACTTGCAAATTCTGATACATATTTCTCTCTGTGTATTGTGCTTTGAAACTGCACATGCATCATAATTATATATGATACTTTGAGAAGAAAAAAGGTTTATCAAGATAAAAAGGACTGGACCGTTTGGGAGCCGATAGACAGAGGACCATTACGCATACGTTCTCTGTGAGTGAGGGAGTGAGTGAGTGAGTGAGTGAGTGAGTTGGTTTTAACGCCGCTTGTAACAGTATTCCAGTTATATCACGGCGTGTCAGCTTAATATGGGAGGAAAGCCCGAAGTGATGCAGGTCGCAGACGTTTACCACTTCGGTGAAACCAACGAGCACGGGTATGGTGCTGACAAATCTAGAAACATAATCGGGGCGAACCGGGATTCGAACCAACAATCATAACTTTCTGGCGTGCCCAAGGGACGCAACTCTGTATTGCGAAACACGGCTCCTTAGACGACTGGGCCACCCGTGTCCTCTGTGAAACAAACTATAGGTACATTATAATACAATTTGCGCATAACATATTCATCTACAATAACCACTTTGAGGGAAACACCCCCCAGCTATTGTTGCACATGATCCCACTTTCTGTATTATAAACAATCACAGCCAGTCATTGAGGTGACGAGGTCATTGAGGTCACACAGTGTGATAACAAAACGAGAGTAGCTATTTTGCGAGTTGCGAGTTGCGAGTTGCGAGCCGAGAGTTGTCATTTGAGTGTCATAATTCGCAAATTGCGATAAATGATATGAAGATTTCATTTTTTTGGTAAAATATATGCATTCGAAAGGAAGACTAACCCTACAGATCCTACTTTACAGATACATACCAAGCTTCTATCAGCATCCCCACTCCCATTTAGTGGAAAGTTTAACAAGGATCATACATGACTGTCATGATCCCGAAAAAATATCTAAACAACAGGTAATATGATTGTAGGGTCGCTTTTATTTAGACCATGTATATTAAATAGTATCCGGTATTTATCGTCAGCTGGTCATCCCAACATCGAAACTTAAATCCTATGGTTTATAAAAAATTAACTGCTTCACAGAAAGGGCATATGCTCTTCCAGATTCCCTCAGAGCCGCCCCATCACTTGATATTTGCACGTCATGACCTTAAACAGTTTTGTTTGACAACTCAGCCATTTGACTTTAGTGTAAATATGTATTTGTGTTGTCAGCGCTTTGAGCATGTTTTATGGCGTGGAAGTTAGCGTATTATAAGAATTCTTCATATGTATTATATAGCTGTCAGATTCAGTTTTTTAAAATCGATCTAACAGAGATTGATAATAAAATGTATCGTAAAATATTTATCTACCGTAACCAGTTTGAGGATACCGCTTCCCAGTTATTGTCCCACGTGATTCCAATTTCTGTATTACACACAATCTGTCACAGCCAGTCCCTGAGATGGAGAGTCACACAGTGTGAAAGCAAAGCCTTGAAAAACTTTGTTTACTGAGCCTCAGTCTGAATGAATTCAATAGCAATGAAACTTAGGCAGCTGCAATCTGTTAACGAGGTACTGAAACATATCAGCATTCTGGGCGTCCCTTGAAGATAATGAAAGATGATTTTGGAAAAAGTGAAAACACAAAAGTCGCAACTCGCAATTCAGCAATATGAATATCCGCGCCAAACCTTGAGACATTTTGTTAACTAAGCCTTACATAATAGCCTTATTCTGCTGTTGATACATCCTAATGAAACATTGGCAGCTGTAATGTGTTAATGAGATGCTGAAACATATGAGCATTCTAGGTGTTTCTGTTAGATATGAAAAGTGAATTTGGAAATCGCAATTTAGCAATATCCATCTGTTAATCACCGAGTCAGACGAAACAGTTATTGATATATTGACCAAAGATCCATTCCGATAACATATGATCAGCTAGTATTCATATTTGATCGATCCTTATTTTAGTCAGCTCTTTGACAAATAGCGGCTACTGGTGACCTATTCCGCCCTGGATTCCACACAGGGGGGACAATCAATGGTGTAGTTAATATGTGTGGTGGCATTACACGTCTAAGTTTCAATGAGTAATGGACATATCTCGTTGAAAGTTTTCTCTTGGCGACATATTGCTCCTTGCTCAAAAACTGATGTACAGTTTGAGTTGATGTCTATCAACACCTGGTCCCAGAGTGGTTGTCATTAATTACCCTGGTTCTGGTATAAGATTTATTGGGTCGTGTTATCTGATCAGCGGCTATCAACTCCTGGGGAATCTCTTCATACAAAACCCTGGACTGTATAATAAACATTAGACCTGCCAGAAAATGACAATCGGGCACACATCTGTTTATCTGACTTTCGCTAGTATACGTTTATAGCGATCAAGGATTAAATCTAAGACATATCTTAAATATATATCAGTCAAGAATGTAAGCCAATGTCTGCTTCCGATTCTACGACTATAAGCAGACGCCATACACCACCCCGAAGTCATTAGAAACACTAAAGTGAAGATTCACCGCAAGACTGTTTTGCACTCTGTAATTTAAATCCACTAACATCCTCTCCTCACTTTTCCTCGTCTGCCTATGCACCTGTATCTACTGCAAGACTCTTTTCCAGGCTCCTCTCTTTGACCCGAATCCCCTGCAAGACTCGCTGCTAGACCACTATCCACTCCTGGCTCCACTGCAAAACCCCTTTCTAGAATCCCCTCCTGCTCCAATGCAATACTTTAGAATCCTATCCTGGCTCCACTGCAAGACTCTTTTATAGAATCCTCTCAGGGCTCCTCTGCAAGCCCGTAGAATCCTCTCCTGGCTTCAATGAAAGATTTCCAAATGGACTTCTCTCTTTTCTCAAGTGCAAGACTCTCGCTTGGGCCCACGTGATACTCGTACTCAAATTCACATTATGTTTTTATACCGAACAAGAGTTGAAATATCCCTGGCGGATATGAAATATTAATGTTATGATCGGTCATCAGAAGAAGAATCATCATTGAAAAATGATTAGCACACATAGAATGGTTTCTGAACCAAAATGTAACGCTCCAGCACATAAGGAAACCGTGCTCGCGGACGATGCAATTCCTCCGTGCTCCGGTCATTCTTGATTTTGACACTTCAGTGATAGGTCGTCAAATCGCTTTTCGCCATTTGTATTGTTGATTTTCATTATCCACAGTAACACGTAAGCTATCTGTTCTTGCTTTAATGCGGTATGTGTGATCAGATTGGGAATGTAGCATCTACAACGTAACGAACAGCTGAGCGATATTGACATGTTCTAACAGAGAACTCAGCGAGAGGTAACCAATATGTTCAGTGTATCTCAATCAGTGATTGGGGTGACATTGGCAAACGTTTCTGCAGACACAAAATGTTAATGATCAGCCCCGCACAGGGTGACACAGATCCAGGATCGATTTCTCAAAAAGCAGACTTTACGAAATCGAACTCACACAGCCAATCAAATCGATGTTCAATTGCGCACGAGCACCTGAGTTCAAGATGTTGTCCAGATATCAATGCTTTTCGGAAGAGTTCCGACTCACTCCGGACTTTCTGGATAGGCGTGGATGTGTCTGGAGGAGTCACAACGAACGTCATGCGAACGTCAACGTAAGATAACTGGACAGATTTGGGGATGGGTTTGTAATGATCACTATGACTGCCGGAAGGCCACTGCATATTGTCCATTAAAAGGGGCACTGGACAGTACTATAGTGACATATGTATACTGGCGGCACTACTTGTGCCGTTCGCGCGCAATGCTGGCCCACGTTTTGTCTTTCAAGGCGATTGCACCCGTGCTCACCGTTCGCTAACTACCTCCAGCAGCAAATCATAACAAGGAAGCAATGTAACAAAGGTTGTATTTTGGAATAACACTTTCTGAGTAAAGTACAGATTATCGTACTTTTTTGGGTTGAGTCTCGTGTGCTGGCGATTAGGTGCCTCGCTCTGGCAGTGTGTTGTTCGAATCCCCGACGGGACTGAACCCCCAAACTCACGGGAATCTGTTCTTTACTCAGAAAGTGTTATCCAAAATATAACATTTCTTTCGTTTGACCACTTAATAAATGGCATTGTGTGTTAAATGATACAATGGCCAACCGAGTCCTGACCTTTCCCCCATTGGAGCACGTCTGGGATATGATTGGGAGAAGTATGCGCAGATGTCAAAGGCAGCCCGGTACGTTCTCGGCCAGGAGATGCAAGAGGAGTGGACAAAACTCCTTCAAATTGCCATTGGGAGATTGATACGGATCGTTCCTCACCGTATAAACATGTTTGACCTGTCGTGTGGGCATGACCCATTGTTGATAAAATCATTTCAAACGTTCATTTAAAAAATAATAATACACAACCCTGTCAACTGTCCTGGTTGTTTGCACCCTTACAATATGCCGCCAACATGTTCTGTTGACATTTGTGTTACACCTAGTCATTCTTTTATCTTATCCGTTCGTGACAATCACTCGTTACTTCTTTGTATTAATGTAATCATATGGGGTTGTTTTTGTCGAATATTCCCTACTTTTTTAAGAATATATATTTTTTATTGCAATTTGACTGATTGTTGTGTCAATTACGGAGCAACAAGAAATTGAAATATGTTTGTCATTATTGAAGTCCTTTACCGGTGATCGACATCTTTTTTTTTACATGACATCAGGAAGTGTTTGTAAGCCAGGAAGTGACAACCGTGGGAGTAGCTTTGAGTCCATAGTATACGAAACTAAGAAATCATTTATTTTAGAAAAAAACATATTCAGTTGAAAAAACAACTTTTAGGGCATGAGAATCGCAATACGTCATTATTTGACGTACTGTACTGTACTTTCAGTCAGATTATCGGGTTTCACTGCTGCAATCTACATGAGGCGCGGGCGTTTCTCTAAACGAATATTTTATATACGACTTCTCCATTAGTAAACGAGGTTCCGTTTACATTTTTGTGTAAATTATGTTTTGAAAGATATTACATTGAAATTGACTGGTAAATAGAGATTACTACACGAGTGTCTGTCAGATACCATTGATCTTACAACGAGTTGTTTCAAAACGTATCTAACGAGCGAAAGCGAGTTAGATACGCTTTGTAACAACAAGTTGTAAGATCAATGGTATCTGACAGACACGAGTGCAGTAATCTGTTTCTTGCACACCCTTAAATCGCACCTTTTTAGCATCGAACCGATGAATTTTGTCTATTCTCATGATTGCAGTGGCGCATTAAAACATGTAACACCACTGTCATAAGTGACGTCATCCTATGTGCTGCTTACTACTCATAAATAATGTGACCCTACACAAAAAGGTTTCCGTCCTATCTGTGGATTATCAAGGCGATGATGAAAATGCAAACTAGACAAAAACCAAGAACACGCTGGGTGCCAAGTTGAAATTTTACACCGCAAAGAAATAACCAAATATGTACAACAATGTTTACTTCCGTATGACATCACTACCGGTGACCGACTTTTACAAAATGGCGTGTTCACTGACAACAGTACGCGGGATTTCCAGAGGAGGTTTTCGTTGATTAAGAGATCGTATACACATAAATGTGTCACGTAAGTAATCAGAAACATTCTGACATTCTGCGTACTGTTATTTGTTTACCATGTTTCCCAATGTAACAGAGAATTAGTCAGAAATGCAGATAACTAGGCCTACCGTCATCGTTGTGCGTGATTTAGCGTCAGTCATGGCGTCACACAGGACGGAAACTTTTACGGCTTCTGTTGAATTTACCACATCATTGTAATGTAAATATGTGTAATTCCATAATTAGTGCAACGATACTCTTCCCATGAATATTCTCAAACGCGTGATCGAGCCAACAATTAGACGAAAGTACCTCTTTTAATGCTACAGTGTAAATCTGAATTTTGCTTTGTTTACATTTCAGCAAGTACAATTTTCCGAGCACAGTTTTCGTGTTCATAGCTAATTTATTTCGCATGATTCCATCTAGATAATTTGCATTGGTGACAAAGACCATTTATCCATTGTTTCGAAAATGTATGAGGAATTCAGGGATGCATGTATAGAAGCTGAGTTTGAAATATACCTGATCGAATATAGGCGTCTCATAATCGACATTTTGTAAACACAATCCAATATGGCAGAACGTACGCTTCGGCGTTCGTGTGTGCATATTTTCCAAAACATTCTAAACGATTCTAGGCTTATCAGCGACGTTTCAGAGTTAAAGTTCTACTTTAAATATTCGAGTAAATATCCGATATTTAGATTTCTAAACACACAGTAGATTCTAAATATCTATATAGCGCCGTGAACTGTGATTTGGCGAGATTTACAATGTACCTAACTTTCAGTCACTTTCAGTAATTTTGAATTGCCTAAAATGACAGTAAATGATAAACAGAAGGGGGAATTCAAAACTGTGAAGATTCTGCGTGATGTATTTTGAATTTTATTCGATTTCGAAGTGAGGGTTGAAGAGAAGGGACGTGTGTCGCTGTGGCAGCCAGGGGGTTTACACTCTGAAAAAACGATAATGTTGACATAACAACAGATAATGTAACTGATAATAATAATAACAAACAAACTCGCAGACGAGGACGAGTTTGTTTATTTTTATTATTAATTACACGGTCCTGTTGTTCAATACAGACGTAGGTGAACATTCGACTGAAGCACGAGCAACTTATGAATGACTTACTCAGGAAAGTAGTCCGTCATCATCTGACCTCAGGTCATCACCATGGAGTAGCCAATCACGGGCCTGGAATTCGATCTCACACATATGTTTGATACCAGTTATCTCAAATGGGTTTCTCACCCACAGGTGTGTAAGAAAGTAGATTATACATACTTCATAGTCTCCTCAAATATGTAAAAACAAACGGATTTTCAACATGTATACATGTACATCTGAGCTGTTATAACATTAACATACACTAGATAAATCAAAATGGCATATAATACATTTTAAGATACTTTCTTTTCTCACCTTTGTTTGTTCATCGCGCCTACTCAAACACCTACTTTATTCTTTGAGGGGCGGTGGGATAGCATAGTGGTTAAAGCGTTTGCTCATCACGCCGAAGACCCGGGTTCGATTCCCAATATGGGTACAATGTATGAAGCCAACTTCTTTTGTCCCCCGCCGTGATCTTGCTGGAATATTGCAAAAAGCGGCGTACAACCATACTCACTTACTCATTCTTTGAGCGCAGTTGGCGAAGTTGGCACAGCGTGTACACAACTATTATAGAGCAGAAAAATCTACTCTACTGTAGGAGCAGTATCCTGTAGAGCACACAGCGCCTACTCCCCCGTTGTCGCAGCTGTTGGTGTGAACAGATTCTACTCCATTGTTGGAGTGCATAGCACCAACTCCACTATTGCAGTACACATCACCTACTCCATTGTTTCACTGCACTGCAACTAAGTCATTAACAGTATGTAAAAAGTCTACTCCACTATTGGAGTGGATAGCGTCTACTCCACTATTGGCGTAGATAGCGTCCACTCCACTGTTGGGGTGCACAGGGTCTACTCCACTGTTGGACTGTATGTCAGTTATATCATAGCATGTCAGCTGAATGTGGAAGGAAAGCCCGAAGTGATGCAGGTCTCACCCATGAGCAAGGCTATGTTGTTGAAGAACCTAGAAACATGATAATACATTTAACTGGGATTCGAACCCACGATCATAGGTTCCTGGCGTGCCCAAGGGAGTCCACTCTGGGCAGCGACGTGCAGTGCAACAGTTTACTTCACTGTGGTAGTGCACAGTACCTACGTATACGCCGTTGTTGGATTGCACAGCGATTACATACCTGAGTGCACAAAGACTTCAACACTGACAGTAAGCAAAATGACTTTTGGAGTGAAAAGCGCCTTTTCCCCCTCTATTTGAGTACACAACACCTACTCCACGGTCGGAGTACACAACACCTACTCCACTGTTGGAGTACACAACACCCACTCCACTGTTGGAGTACACAACACCCACTCCAATGTCGAAGTACACAACACCTACTCCACTGTCGAAGTACACAACACCTACTCAACTATTGGAGTACACAACACCCACTCCACTGTTGGAGTACACACAACACCCACCCCACTGTTGGAGCAAACAACACCTATTCCACTGTTGGAGTACACAACACCCACTCCACTGTTGGAGTACAAAACACCTTCTCCACTGTCGGAGTACACAACACCTACTCCACTGTCGGAGTACACAACACCTACTCCCCTGTTGGAGTACACAACACCCACTCCACTGTTGGAGTACACAACACCTACTCCACTGTCGGAGTACGCAACACCCACTCCACTGTTGGAGTACACATCACCCACTCAACTGTTGGAGCGCACAACACCTACTCCAATGTTGGAGTACACAACACCTACTCCACTGTTGGAGTACACAACACCCACTCCCCTGTTGGAGCAAACAACACCCACTCCACTGTTGGAGTACACAAGACCTACTCCACTGTTGGATCAAACAACACCCACTCCACTGTCGGAGTACACAACACCTACTCCACTGTTGGAGCAAACAACACCCACTCCACTGTTGGAGTACACAACACCTACTCCACTGTCGGAGTACACAACACCCACTCCACTGTGGGAGCAAACAACACCCACTCCACTTTTGGAGCAAACAACACCCACTCCACTATTGGAGTACACAACACCTACTCCACTGTCGGAGTACACAACACCCACTCCACTGTTGGAGCAAACAACACCCACTCCACTGTTGGAGTACACAACACCTACTCCACTGTTGGAGCAATCAACACCCACTCCACTGTCGGAGTACACAACACCTACTCCACTGTTGGAGCAAACAACACCCACTCCACTATTGGAGTACACAACACCTACTCCACTGTCGGAGTACACAACACCCTCTCCCCTCTTGGAGCAAACAACACCCACTCCACTGTTGGAGTACACAACACCCACTCCACTGTTGGAGTACACAACACCTACTCAACTGTTGGAGTACACAACACCCACTCCACTGTTGGAGTACGCAACACCCACTCCACTGTTGGAGTACACATCACCCACTCAACTGTTGGAGCGCACAACACCTACTCCAATGTTGGAGTACACAACACCTACTCCACTGTTGGAGTACACAACACCCACTCCCCTGTTGGAGCAAACAACACCCACTCCACTGTTGGAGTACACAAGACCTACTCCACTGTTGGAGCAAACAACACCCACTCCACTGTCGGAGTACACAACACCCACTCCACTGTTGGAGCAAACAACACCCACTCCACTATTGGAGTACACAACACCTACTCCGCTGTCGGAGTACACAACACCTACTCCACTGTTGGAGCAAACAACACCCACTCCACTTTTGGAGCAAACAACACCCACTCCACTATTGGAGTACACAACACCTACTCCACTGTCGGAGTACACAACACCCACTCCACTGTTGGAGCAAACAACACCCACTCCACTGTTGGAGTACACAACACCTACTCCACTGTTGGAGCAAACAACACCCACTCCACTGTCGGAGTACACAACACCTACTCCACTGTTGGAGCAAACAACACCCACTCCACTATTGGAGTACACAACACCTACTCCACAGTCGGAGTACACAACACCCACTCCCCTCTTGGAGCAAACAACACCCACTCCACTGTTGGAGTACACAACACCCACTCCACTGTTGGAGTACACAACACCTACTCAACTGTTGGAGCACACAACACCTACGCCACTGTTGGAGTACACAACACCTACTCCACTGTTGGAGTACACAACACCCACTCCACTGTCGGAGTACACAACACCCACTCCACTTTTTGAATACACATTACCCACTGCACTGTTGGACTACACAACACGTACTCCACTGTTTGAGTACCCAACACCCACTCCACTGTTGGAGTACACAACACCCACTCCACTGCTGGAGTACACATCACCCACTCCACTGTTGTAGTACACATCACCCACTCCACTGTTGGGTTACCTTACACCCACTCCACTGTTGGAGCACACAACACCCACCCCATAGTTGGAGTGAACAGCCCCTACTCCACTGTTGGAGTACACAACACCCACTCCACTGTTGGAGTACACAACACCTACTCCATTGTTGGAGCACACAGCACCTACTCCACTGTTGGAGTACACAACACCTACTCAACTGTTGGAGCACACAACACCTACGCCACTGTTTGAGTACACAACACCTACTCCGCAGTTGGAGTGAACAACACCTACACCACTGTTGGAGTACACACCACCTACTCCCCTGTTGGAGTACACAACATCTACTCAACTGTCGGAGTACACACCACCTACTCAACTGTCGGAGTACACAACACCTACTCCCCTGTTGCAGTACACAACACCCACTCCACTGTTGGAGTACACAACACCCACTCCACTGTTGGAGTACACAACAACCACTCCACTGTTGGAGTACACAACACCCACTCCACTGTTGGAGCGCACAACACCTACTCCACTGTTTGAGCACACAAAACCCACTCCACTGTTGGAGCACACAACACCTACGCCACTGTTTGAGTACACAACACCTACTCCCCAGTTGGAGTGAACAACACCTACACCACTGTCGGAGTACACACCACCTACTCCACTGTCGGAGTACACAACACCTACTCCCCTGTTGCAGTACACAACACCCAGTCCACTGTTTGAGTACACAACACCCACTCCACTGTTGGAGTACACAACACCCACTCCACTGTTGGAGTACACATCACCCACTCCACTGTTTGAGTACACAACACCTACTCCACTGTCGGAGTACACAACACCTACTCCACTGTTGGAGTGAACAGCACCTACGCCTTTTATGATAGATATTGTCAGTAACTTTCAGTAACTTGATTGGTAGAAGTGGTTTTGTGTCATGTTTTTTAGTGGTACTACACTGCAGTACATACAAAGTAGACTGTTGAAACAACGCGACATGTCCTCTTCAGGGATGCTGAAGCATGATAAGTTCCAAAAGGTTAAAAAAGCCAGTACATACATGTAAAAATATATAAAAGTAACGATATGACAGGGACAAGTGGAACATGATGAATAGCCCAGCTAAATGCACAGTCACAATGACTGTCGAGAAAATGTTAAACAGTCGTGACTTGTGGAAGCATCTTCCATCGGGTTCCATGTAGACCAGTTGTCCAGGTTAATCTTCTAATTCCTCAGCTGGAATCCAAATACGAACTACATGGGGAAATCATGTTTTATAACCAGATCGTTCGGGTAGTGTCCTCTTGTGACTAACTTTGAATAATGCAAATATTAATATTAGTAGTAAAATGTTTATTAATGTGTTGAACACTCATATAATAAGTGCGTCCAGCCAAAACTAACTTTCGAGCCACAATAAAAAATTGTATTGAGTCGTATGTACTTTAAAAACAAAATGAATGAATGAATTTAAGATATAAATCAATAACAATGTATTAGTAATACTAAAAATGAGTTGGTATTACAATAAAGATCATAATAATAGCATCCTCGTGGGTATTCCATAACAATATATCATCCCAAAAGTCCTAACACTGTGCCCTCATCATCGAGTATTCTGCCATATCACCTCTGATGTCGTCGAGCATTTATGAGAATATGATACAACGTGGTAATAAAACACGAACTGACAATTTTTATTTTCATGAATCCAATTATTGGTTTCCCCTGCGGTGCTGTTTCCGTATTATTACACATCCACTCTTTGTATGGTTCTTTGGGGATTTTGTGCTGGAGGCGTTCAAAGCGTGCGTAAAATGTTGCTCTACCTTGTGGAGGAGCGGTGCAGTCTGTCGTGTCATAATGCTTAACCAGAACTTAAACGTTTTACTTTCATGGTATTTGGGAGAAGATGTTTCATGCTTTTAAACGTCTGATGCAATTCCCTATTTTAACATGTAATATATATCCCCGTGTTTGTTCAGTCGAACACCTTACTTGGTTTTGCATGTGTTTGTGATGGGTTCCACCGGCGGGACAGGATACGCTTAACTTTCGCGAACACCTGGAATCATAACAATTCGGTAGTGATTCATACACACATATTTATGATAGAAAAACATGGTTTCGCAAATAAAATTTCAGGAATGACATGAGTATGTCCTGTGTGTTGAGATGAAAGGAATATATTAAACGGTGTAATAATGATCGACTTTGGCGGGTATGCTGAACCACTAATCCTGGTTTACCAAATTTTCCGAAGATGAAAGGAAGTTGTACGAAGAAAAGGGGAAGTATATTAGGAATCCTCAAACCTAAAGCCTTGTATGCTCTTGTGCTTTCACGTTGTGGTTGTCTTTGGTTCTCGCATTCTTTACTAAACAAAGGGAGGCAGCACGTTTTCACAGATTGTATGCACGATCGCGATGGATGAAGGGTTCGGGGCACAGGCGTGATTGATTCACATGGAAGTTACAGATATGTTTGAATATAAAATACACATGTATGTAATTTAGATGAATGACGTTTTGACCTGTGAAGTAGCGTTTGCTTCCCCATACGGATTTCATTTGCAATGAAACTGAGGGTCGTGAACATTTTAGAATAGTCTATCTTCAATACATTCCATAAAATGTGTGTTTTGTGCGTCCAGTCATGTATTGGGTTCACAACAATAAGATTTTAAAAATTAATGACTTGTAATAAAAATTGCCAGAAAAAGAAACTTCTTCTTAGATAAACTGCAGGGCAAAGGCAAGTAAATACTTCTGAAAACTGGATTGACTAAACAATTACAAACGTTATCAAACATAACCAGGCAACCAAAAACTGCAAACTGAAGGTCTGAGACACACCAATGATACAACATCACCACCGCATAAGTATTTCCTGTTATTTCATTATTACCTAACATCAAACACATGGGTGTATACGCTTTCATGCCTGGTAGTGTGTATGAAATATGAATGTACAAATACCAAATCTAAGAAATATACAGTTATGTTTCTAAGATCATGCTATTTACACAGTCAGTACTTCGGTCATTGTGGAGGTATTGTAGTTTGTCCAAAATTGACAATCAGGCGACTCTGCTAATCCTGTGGTAAAAGGGAGATAATTTATATTACTATGGTTAAAAGAAGTGTTAAGCACTTTGTACTGCGTGAACATCAAGGAAACGTCGACATGGGTTCGTATCACCGCATCCAATCAAATGTTGGTCATGGCTCTCGGTAAGACATTCCAGAAAGGGGTATTCACATTTATCATTCACATTTTGTCTTTCCTTTCAGAATGTATCACTATGTTAAGTTTTCGTGAGGATTTTGTCTTGTTTTATAGGAATATCTTTAAAAGGTTTAGGCCTTTGTCATTCTCAACCACTGAGAGATGCCCACTGTATTGCCCAGTTGACGTCTGGTGAGTCATGGATCATCCATAATCAGATCATGTATTTTATCAGCATTTTCCTTACTGATGCAGTAGAAGGTTCTCCCAAGCTTGAATCATCTTCGAGGCTCCCCCTTTCCCTCCTGAACGCAGCTGCCCACATCCTCCAATGTCCTATGACACTATGTCCGCAGGCAGAATAACTAGTCACTTTGATGCTTGCAGAAATATGCTGCAACTAATTGGTTTAAATGTAAGTAAGCATGTATCTGAGCATGAAAAGTATTGTACTTAATACATGCAAAGTATTAATGATGCACTATACATCCTTAGTAGCGACGTTCAGCTATACATCTTCGTAGTTGGGCTCAGAACTTTTCCGCTACCCCTAGGACCTTCACATGGTTAAAGTTTTGATGCACACACATACACACACACACACACACACACACACACACACACACACACACACACACACACACACACACACACACACACACACACACACACACACACACACACACACACACACACACACACACTAACCAGACATACATACATACATACATACATACATACATACATACATACATACATACATACATACATACATACATACATACATACATACATACATACATACATACATACATACATATCACTCAAAGATGTTCTTTCAGATTACTATCATATTGTTACACATGTTATGTTTATATACGTATTGATGCAGTTTGGAAATGTCATCATCCGTCGAAAACCCGCATCTGAATTTCTGTTTGTTCCACGGATATATTTGGTAGGCAATCGAATCAAAACAGCAACAACTATTCGATTATAGATGTAACTATTTTTCCGAAATACGTAACACATTTATAACTATTTGGATCATTTGTTGGTGCAAGTTTATGAATATGATTATTCCGATTGATCAGTCATTCGGCAAATATGAATGTTCAAACAAACTATTGAAAAGTATGTCTAAATTGGGCATCAGGATGTCGGTTGAAGGATGCAAACATTCAAGGATAAGATGATCTGTTCAGAGTGTTCTGTTTGCTGATCTCTAAAATGTCCTCTATTGTGCTTGGAGTGTCACATATATTATGAGCAGAATCAATGCAGTCGTTTTTTCTGTCAGTTTTGATAAAATCTATTTTTGTGTTCTTCATCACATACTTTTGGATGAATTTCTTTACTAAATATAGATTTAACGTTATTGAACCACTCTTCTTTTGTTTGTCGTTGCATAAAGCCACACCGACGTGTACAAAATCAAGTATGACCTATTTAAACCTGTGATCGAAATTAGGATCAACGTTCCACGTTCCACGTTCTTGGGGAACGATGACACATATTTAATCATGACACCGGGTCTGATCCTTTTTGTCGCCTCGTACGACAGGCACAATTTGCTTGCGACCTATCCTAACAGTGATTCCCCACGGGATCCATTGCAATATTTGAAGTGTACTGATTTGGATTTGGACATTTGTAAAGAGCAAATCCACATGTAAGTGTTTCATACACTCTCTGGTAATAAAAAGTAGGGGATCATCGGAAGAAACTTAAAATTTCCAAAATTGTAAGAGATATTTGTTTCCAGTAATAGTTATATGATAATGATAAAAGAATGAGGAAAACATTACAACCGTAGTGACGTATGAAAGTAGATGTTATGCCTGCCAACGATCTTGAGTGAGTGAGTGAATGATTTGGGTTTAACGCCGCTTTTAACAGTATTCAAGTTATATCATGGCGTGTCAGTTTAATGTAGGAAGAAAGCCCGAAGTTTACCACTTCGGTGAAACCCACGAGCACGGGTATGGTGCTGACAAACCTAGAAAATTAATTGGGGCGAACTGGGATTCGAACCAATAATCATAGGTTTCTGGCGTGCCCAAGGGACAGCAACACGTCTCCCTATCATGCAACCCCCACACCATAACCGATCCACCGCTAAATCTATCATGAGGTCTCAGATTGACATTAGAGCCGCCTCCGTGGTCTAGTGGTAGAGCGTCCGCCCGGAGAGCGGAAGGTCCGGGGTTCGATCCCCGGCCGCGTCATACCAAAAGACGTTAAAAGATGGTACTTGTTGTTACCCTGTCTGGCGCTCGGCATTAAGGGGCTGAAACAAGGACTGGTCGGCTCGCAGTCAGTATACTATGTCTGAGTGGGGTATTCATGTTATACTGCGGCATGGTATCTCAGTGAGCTAGCACTATA